TTCCAATAACCTAAGCTGCTTGAAGGACCGGATAATATCTAGCTTATCCTCTACTAGAGTCCAGTGTCCTGCGACAATGTCCGGACATAGCTTCCAACTTAAAGGACTACTCACCACCGGTTTTGAACCTGAGTCCGTTACCCCGGCCAACTGTGCCATGGACGGGAACACTGTATCTACCTTTTCAAAATTCAAAATTTATGTTTTGGGCAAGGCGAGAAACTATAATAGATAACCAAATAAACCACAACATCATAACAATAATGTCCATTCTCGTATCTAATAGTAACAGCTTTAAATAATCACTACAATTGTGTTCAATTTATAGCGAAAACACATCTCGAATATTAAATGACGTAGACAAAACAAAGCCATATTTATGAACTATATTATATTACAACAACAAACTCTGTTAACAGTTAGGCGGTGCTTTATGGCAATATCAATTAAAAAGTTTACACAATTCCGAAATTTTTACTAGTGTCGTGCTGATGGTTCGGCTTCGGCCACTTCCTTTTATTTTAGTACCAATGGATTATTCTTCAACTTTCGGATACAATTTAACAGAATACTTTTTTTAGGATACCAAGTGATGAGACGAACAAGTCGTGCGCCTGTTGTTAAGCGACACACCTATTCATAGCAGTTTCAGTGGCACACAGAGCTTTAAATCACAAAGATCTAAGTGACACTGCCACTTCATGTGCCTGTAATTTGACCAGTATTCTTGCCTTCAAAACCAGAACACAGAAATGGGTAAAGTTACAAAGAGCCCTACTGCTACTTCTTATTAGTCTTACTTATACTACGAGGCTTGGCAGGCTTATAATGATAAGTAATAGACATTTGTGTGACACAATTAATGGCAGAAGGAAGCGTGTAGCGCAAACCTCAATTAATCAGATAAACACAGGGGGTGATACGTTTGACGTGTCCAAGTCTACACATGTCTTATACCTGTAAGAGAATTTTGAAATATAATTCCGGATTTATAATGTAAAAAAATAATTATTATTATTACATTACTGAACAACTCATCGTAATTTCTAGTCCGGAGCACGAGTTTTTTTAAGGAACGGGCTTAGACCAGAGGTTCCCCAAATTTTCTTGTCTCGTATACCACATTTTGCATAGACCCCCTGCCCTTCTAATATACATTATCAACAAATTCATTAACTTTAGGTTGCTATTCACTTTGATAAGTGTAACTATATAGTGAGAAACTTTATAAAAAACAGAGGTAAGTACTGAGTAGATAATTTTCAGTTAAGGATGGGACCGAGAGGCAATAGAAAACACGATCATTCGGTTCGATGTAACATTTAATACTACTTATCGATACATAATAGTTATGATTAACAAGTGGCTATATTACACCTCACGCCCCTTGCAAAAGAAAAAAAGTTGATAATACAAGATAACTTTTTTTTGTATAATGTAATGTCTCGTATGTATTATCTTTAAATCTAACGTATACAGTATTATTAAGAATTTTAGTTTGATTTTTGTGTACCAACATATCTTTTTCTTTGTATAAAATTGATACATTGGGTTGCTTATCCTGTATTACAGCGTATGGTCCCGAGTACAAGCAGTCCAATTTATTGTCCATAGTTCCATTTCGTAACAAAATTTGGTGGCCTAGCCTGTACATAATTGAATTCATATAAGTGTCGTAGTAACCTTTCCTTTTAGTTTACTTTTCACAATGTTGGTTTTAGCATCATATTGTGCCGTTTGCAGTCTATATTTAAGTTGTAATAGATACTCATTGTTATTGCACAGTGGTTCAACTACATTATTTAAATTACAAGGAATCTGGCATGATTTACCAAATACAAGCTCGTAGGGAGTGTATCTAGTTTCAGTGTGTACGGTACTATTGTATGAGAAACACCAATAGGGTAACCATGAACTCCAATTAAGTGGATTATTTTCTGTTTGAATTCTTAAAAATGCTGTCAAATGTTTGGATGGTAGGCTGTGGAATTCAATTGTTCCATTTTGAGTAATTTGCAGACTTCTTGCATTACTTTAGAAATATATTCGGTTCCTTTATCCGTAACAATTTTACCTGTAATTCCGTAACGAATTATAAAATTACTGACAAAACTTTTTGCTATTGTAACCGTGTCATTAGACTGAAGTGGGTAGGCCTCGACGAATTTTGTCAAGTCGCACTGGACTGTTAAAATGTACCGGTAGTTACTGCTATCACTTACTAATGGACCCACTGTGTCTAACAATACTTTATTAAAAGCGCAATTACCTGTATCCGTTATCAGCATCGGTTCTTTCGTATACTTACCGTATTTATTTGTTTGACATTTGTCACATTTTTTTACAAATTCTGTGACGTCTTTCTCCATACCTGTCCAAAAATAATTTCTACGTAAATTATTCAGCATTCGACGAATACCAGCATGACCACTTGTGAGCAGCATGTGGTAATCGTTCAGCAATATCCTTTTCATGTCGTTGTCATTTATTTTCATTACTCCTCTCACAATACATATGCGCGGTCCGGACCACTTTATTTATTATTTGAGTTAACTCTTGTATAAATATATTACTATTTTCATCTTTCACTATATGAATTGTATCTATATTTATTTTTTTACACAATAACCCTAATTCCCTCACGAAGACTTCGTGTCGAGTGCAACATGATCGGATGTTAGGTTTTACGTAAATAGTCGATTGTGTGTGTATAAATATGTCATTCTAATTTTTTAATTTGTTGGTCACTAGCTATTGCTAACTCCGTGTATTCCTTCGGAAGTTACAACATTTCCACGACTCTTGGGTGATCAGTCCAATCGTCGAAATTTCGTCAAACGGCTTGCCAGGTTTGCCATATTGAATAAATACAGAAGTGGTTTGTAGTCTGTCTCTATTACACACTCTCTACCATACAAATACGGTCTAAAATATTTCACTGACCATATGAGCGCCAAAAGTTCTTTTTCTATTGTCGGATAATTACACTCTGCCTTATTTAGAGTTCGACTGGCGTATGCTACAGGTCGACGATCTTCGTTGCTTAGCACGGATCCTATTGCAAAACCAGAGGCGTCTGTTTGTAAAGAAAAAATGTTTTTTTTTTTCGTCTAATTTGGTGTACTGCAAAATAGGTGGTGATGTGAGTGCTTGTTTTACTGTTTCAAATGCTTTTTCGCATTCGTAATTCCATTCGAAAACAACTTTTTGTTTGCAGAGTTTGTTTAGTGGCAATGTTATTTCCGTAAAATTTGGTACGAACTTACGATAGCAATTAGAGAAAGTCACAAACCTTTTAACATCATCTGTATTTTTTTGGTGTAAGATACTTTTTTAAGGCAAATTTTTTTTTCGATCTGGTTTTAACCGATCAGCTGACACAATATGTCCTAGATATAGGATTTCCTTTTTTAGAAATTCACACTTAGCGGGATTAAGTTTTAAATTTGCTTTTCAAAGTCTACTCAGAATATCTATAAGGGTATGATTATGACTGTCTAAGTTTCTACCAAAACAAATCAAGTCATCTAAATAAACAAAGTACATGTCAAAATTAAGTCCCGACATGGCCACTGTCGTGGCTCTAGAAAATGAACTGGGGCTGGTTTTTAACCCCATTGGTAACCTTTTCATTTGGTATTGACTTATTGGGGTGGTGAATGCACTACATTTTCGACTTTGTGGTTCTAAACTTAACTGATAATATGCTTGGTTTAAGTCTAAATGTGAAAAATACATGGCGCCGGTAAGTGAATCCAATATATCGGTAATGTTCGGTAGGGGAAATTTATAATTTACTAGTCTTTCATTCAGTTTCCGAAAATCAATTACGAATCTCCATTTTTTATTTGCGTTGTCGGTCTTTTTCGGTACTAAGAGAACAGGACTGGACCATTCGCTATGGCAGGGCTCAACTATGTAATTCTTTAGCTCCTCTTTTACTTGATTTTCTATTTCTGCCCTCTGAGAAAAAGGGAGTCTATATTGTTTGACATAAACTTGATTCGAGTTTGCTTTTAACTGAATTCTGTGTTGATATACATTTGTTGTTGACAATTTGTCTCCTGATAAGAAAAATACGTCTGCAAACTTTGCACAAATATTTTGGATTTCCCTCCTTTCTTCTGAATTTAAATGAGACACATTTATTTGATTTAACATTTCCTTTACCCTTTCTACCGTAATCTCACTTTTGTAATCACATACTCTACTGTATAATCTTTAAGCTTTTCGACTGTCGGACTGAAATAGGATAAACTAACTCTTCGTCGCGGGTATTCAGTATTTGAATACAAATTTTATTTGAGCGTGGCTATACGATTCCCTGCAATAAATACACCTTGACGTACTTCTTTCGACTCTATTACACAATCTTCTGACAATTTTGTATCTATATACGTAGGTCACTCAATAAGTTTTGAGATAAAGAAAAAATATCAAACATATTAATATAATTTATTTCACATTTTTTCAAAATACTCTCCATCATTATCTACACAACGTTTCATTCGTCTAAACCAACTCTGAAAACACTTTTGCCAGTCTTGATCTGTCAGCATTGAAATTGCCATTTCGTAGGCAGCCACTGCTTCTTCGACATCCAAAAAAAAATTTTCCTTTGATTTTTCCTTTACTGTTGGGAACAAAAAGAAATCGCGGAAAGCCACGTCAGGGCTGTACGGCGGGTGATTTAAGGTTTCTATACCAGATTCCTTAATAAACGCCTTTGTTCTGAGGGACGCATGTGAAGAGGCGTTATCGTGATGCAGCATGATTCCCCAAAGCCCGGTCTTTGGTCTCCTCTCCCGCACAGCTTGGAAAACTTTTGGCAATGCTACTGTTGTGTACCATTCTGAATTAACAGACCTACTATTTTCTAACATTGACGTCGACAAATGTCCGCTCCGAGAAAAAAAACTAGCTACCATTTTTTTGCCGACGTTTCGAGGTCTTTGCAACTTTGTCGGTAATTGTCCCTCTGCCAAGACCCACACCGACGACTACTTCTTGCTTTCTGGATCATATTGATAGATCCATGTTTCATCACCAGTAACGATTTCTGAAACACGTCTCGATGTCCCGTTTTCGAAACGTATAAGCATTTCTCGGCACCAATCCACTCGAGCCTGTTTTTCAGTACCGGAGAGCAATCGTGGGATCCATCGACAACAAAGCTTCCTCACTCCAAGATGTTGATGCAGGATAGTATTGACGCTCCCCGAACTAATGCCTAGGATCTTCTCAATGTTGGTGTACGTGATTCGTGGATCTTCTCGCACCAACATTTCAGATGTCCACACATTTTCTGCAGTAACTGCTGTTTCCGGGCGTCCGCCTCTTAGGTCATCTTCAAGGTTAGTTTTGCTTCCTGTAAATTCCTTTAACCACCTAAAAACTGTTGCACGAAAACGACCAGAGTCATCTAATGCTGACTGCAAACGTTCCAAACTCAATTGTTCAGTTAAACCACATTTAAAATCATAGAAGATCATAGCACGCAAATGTTTACAGTTAAGATCCATTATTGCAAAGAAAAAGCGCGGGAAGCGTTGTAGTAAAATGATTAACAATGTCATTTTTTTTAATTTAGCTAAATTGCTTTTGGTGATCTATTTTTAAATAAATTTGCTTTTTAAAAACATATAATACGGGTGCGTTCCATTTTTAAATTTCGAGTATCTCAAAACTTATTGAGTGCCCTACGTAAAATATCCTTTCACACCTAGGAGGTACAGTAATGTAATCATTTTTTGTTTGTTTTCCTAATTCTAACGGTATCGTGTAATATTCGTTTAGGTAATATAAACTAAATGTATTTAATTCATAGTTAATGTTACAATTATATTTAATTAAAAAGTCTTGGCCTATTATTCCATCGGTCTTACATGGAATCTTTTTAAAAACATAAAACTAGTGACTAATTAACTGTCCATGAATGGCAACGTCTAAATAAACATAACCCTCTGTTCGCAACTGTCCACCTATACCATTAACGAATGTAGATTGTTTAAGTATTGGTACATTCAACTCATTTACGGTTTCTAGTTTCACGGATGACAAAAATGCTCCAGAATCTACTACCCATTGCCTCGTAATATTACCTACTGGTAATGATATACAGTTGCTAAACTCGCAAGTCAATATATAATTATTAGGGTCGAAAAAATTCTAATTCGTTGATGTTACCTTGATCGTTATTGTGTTGTGTTGTATTCTGTGTGTCATTTTGGTCAAAGCATCGTACATGATGTTTACGGGTATTTCCACGACTGTTACTATTGTAATAAAACTTACCTCTCGATCGAGTGCTCGGGCGAGAACGTGTTGCCCAAGTGTTCTGCTGCCTTTGGTAGTTACTTACCGCTGATGTCTACGGTTGCTGATTATACTCGTAAGATCTTCCCTGTTGAATGTTACCTCTACTCCTGAACATTCTTCCTCTGTAATTCCTTGAATTGAAATTGAAATAATTACCTCTTGACCGCTGTCCGAAGTACACTGCTCCTTCCGTCTCTGGTCGTATACAAGATAATTCTTCCTCTTTCGCAGCTCTTATAGTGTCCTTAAGCGAAGTGTAATCACGGGCCGCTAAAATGATGCTAAGATTACGATTTCTTAAGCCGCTAGTGAATCGTTTGATCGCCAATTGTTAATTTAAAGGTTTTAGTACCTTATAGGCGCTTTTATCTCCATCGGAAAGAAATCGTCAAGACAACAATTTTTGTTGTTTTTCATGCTTTTTTGCTTCATGTCTTTCAGGTAGCGTAAGTTTCAGCTAAGCGCAATTTCGCGCTTTCTGTCAATCTCGTTTTTAAAACAAATGATATTAATGAGGAATGATCTGTGTCCTTTATCATGGAACTGTATAGTTCAATTGAGTTAATCAATTTTTTTGTACCTTCTTCTTCACCTGTCATAACCGACAATAAGGATACAGCAGTTTTCAACTCGAATTTCTCCATAGTCCTTTTACCTATATAATCTTTAGAATAAAAATCTACGATTTGTTTAGTTCGATTGTATAGTTCTTTGTATTCCTATTAGTGTTTCTATTTGTTGATTAACTAACT